GATCTTTGCGCTTGGTGCTCCTCAAAAAATGACAAAACTATGGATAAGGATAATGTTTACATTTTCTAGGTGCCTCCAACCCAATAATTTGGAAAAGCCCTTATTTTTTTACTTTAGTTTCTACTAAATTTACACATTTTTAATATTTTGATTTCGCAACTTACAGGTGACAATTGAAACAATGCCTCTGATTTGAGAGTCAAGGTAGCTGAAAATTGTGGCAATGGCGTACAGTGAAGGCGACTACAGCTCCACCGACGCGTCACTCGCCTCTCCCACATTTTGATTCCGTTCTTTGTCCGTAGAAGCACGCGGAATCCCATAAGCTAATGCAAAGGGAATTGTTATGTGTCAACTCAGAGGAAAATAGCCAAAATTGTAAAAATTAGATTTACAGATGCACAAGTTAGTGCTTGGGCTGGTACAGTGTCCACGTATACGAAAGAAGGGAGCGCAAACAATAACATCCCCATTTTCAGAAGATATATCTATCTCCTGACAGGAAAATATTCACTTGCATTTAATTTACATAACATCCAAGCATCATTGGAACTATCAAAGCTGCTCATAAGCAGTCAGCAAACCGAAGTTTAAGCAACAAGAAGTTTTCATTGCCAGAAACTCAACCCATTAACATGTCTCGGTGATATCAAGCCTGAGTTGGTACATTGATGGTTAACGTAAGTAATGCGTATTCAACTAAGCGTTCATCCTGGCAGAGCGCATATAAATACGAGGTTTATTTCGTCTAAAGAGCTTGAGGAAACGCAAATGATTCCTGACCTTCGTTTTCTTTCTATATTATTCGCAAAGTTAGCTCCATTCGGTGTTTACTTGCAACATATCGCACCCTGGAGTTGTATCTTGTCTGGCAAACATCATTCGAAATGAGTTAATTGACATTCCTGGTTAGAGTCATTCCTGTATGGTGTCATTTTGAGGACGCTTCGCAAGAAGCTGGGAAGGTCTTTTCGGTGTCCAAGGTAGTCGTCTATCCACACAAATAACACATTAGCATTTCATTATTGTCGCAGACAGTCTAAAAGGAAAATTGCTTGAATGCACTAGATCAGCAACATAGTATCTGGTGCTTGTGACTTTGGAAAGGTACGAGAAATAGTAGATTAGCGAGAAAGGTGGATAGGAATGAAGAAATGCTGGATCACGTGGGTACCTATTAGAAGCTGCAGCGAAAGTTTCTCCCTATGATTCGGTGCTCCCAATCGCCTGGATTTTGACTTGCGCATAGGTAGATTCTAGCTGATTAGCAAAGACAGGGCTTGATTTTTATTTGCTTATTTATACAGCCTTGATTACCCCTGGCCTGCATGTAAAAGTACAGATTTTGCAACCTTCTAGAATGTTAGACCTTGTAACAAATCCATCCACAATTCTACTTTATTGTCTGAAATTTCTCTTCAACGTCTCTTTTTAGTCCCCACAGCACCGTCAGCCTTCTGGAGACTCGGTTAGTCAGTAGAGGAGCCACAAGGCCTGTTTGTGCATGTGGTTCATTGCAGCCTCACTGATAAGACTTTCCTTATCTGTGAAGGGCACACAACACGGGGTTCTGCGGTTACCGTAATCGTTAGCTATGATCTCCACCCTGTTTTATTGGATAACATCGATACTGGAGAAGGTTGTTCCTAAGACAATGCCGATAGCAGGAACTGTTGGCACGGCTTCGTGTGGTGCACAAATGCCGATGCGTAATGTCGAATAATGGTAATCACCACGACTGTAGCAACCCTTTATATCAATTGCAGATGATCCTGTCTAACCTATCCACGATGCGCGCTACCTGCTAGAATTATTTCATACAGACAGGAGCTGCCAGTGTTTCATGCTTCGCCTCATTAACTAGCGACTGCTCCCTTGAAAGCGATGACGCACACTGAAGGCTCGGCTCACACCCGCCTGTAGGAGAGCGAAGTCGTGAGCAGTGTTGTCGTCTCCGTGCTGACGTGTTGGTGTCAGAAATACTGCGGTGCAGTAGTCGCAACATATCGACTCATGCCTAATAGGCCTATTTAATGCGGCAGGAACGCATTGCCAGAGTGTGGTCACACTCTCTAGGCTGAAGTGGGTGACCTGAAATAGAACCTAGGAAATGGTCATGTCTATTTCCGATCCATACTTATTAGTCTCGATCTAGTTCTATTAGTCTGTCTATCGCAGTTTCCATGGAGGGCAGGTCAAGGAACGACAGAACTAATCTGATTAGGTGAGGTGGAATTGGATTAGTGCAGAGGAGAGTAGAATTGATGACTACGTTTTGATATTAGTGACACCGGCTAGGGGACTGACAGCAAGTCTCTGATAGTGCTATGGAGTGAGGAGGATCAAGACGGAATCAGTCGCCATGAGGCTAATGAATGGCTCCAGCAATAGAGCCAGGAGGTGGTAATGCTGTGAAAATCTCTATTGGTTTAATTTTATGCGATCGTAATTTTCATTAGGCATGAAGGACATTATATGCATTAACTACGTCTCTATTCTCCTCCGTACCTCACTGTGAATTCACTAGCTTTGCAAACCAATGCAATAATAGGAGGCCGATCAATATCTGTCATCTTGTGCTGATGCTGCGGATGGCTATCTCTGCTAGGCGAATAATTGCAAATGCAAAACTACATGTGAGGTGATACTACACATATTTGGAATGTCCTTCACACTATGATGTTACGTGTAAATTCGATTATAACGCTTCACTCTTGATCTTTGCGCTTGGTGCTCCTCAAAAAATGACAAAACTATGGATAAGGATAATGTTTACATTTTCTAGGTGCCTCCAACCCAATAATTTGGAAAAGCCCTTATTTTTTTACTTTAGTTTCTACTAAATTTACACATTTTTAATATTTTGATTTCGCAACTTACAGGTGACAATTGAAACAATGCCTCTGATTTGAGAGTCAAGGTAGCTGAAAATTGTGGCAATGGCGTACAGTGAAGGCGACTACAGCTCCACCGACGCGTCACTCGCCTCTCCCACATTTTGATTCCGTTCTTTGTCCGTAGAAGCACGCGGAATCCCATAAGCTAATGCAAAGGGAATTGTTATGTGTCAACTCAGAGGAAAATAGCCAAAATTGTAAAAATTAGATTTACAGATGCACAAGTTAGTGCTTGGGCTGGTACAGTGTCCACGTATACGAAAGAAGGGAGCGCAAACAATAACATCCCCATTTTCAGAAGATATATCTATCTCCTGACAGGAAAATATTCACTTGCATTTAATTTACATAACATCCAAGCATCATTGGAACTATCAAAGCTGCTCATAAGCAGTCAGCAAACCGAAGTTTAAGCAACAAGAAGTTTTCATTGCCAGAAACTCAACCCATTAACATGTCTCGGTGATATCAAGCCTGAGTTGGTACATTGATGGTTAACGTAAGTAATGCGTATTCAACTAAGCGTTCATCCTGGCAGAGCGCATATAAATACGAGGTTTATTTCGTCTAAAGAGCTTGAGGAAACGCAAATGATTCCTGACCTTCGTTTTCTTTCTATATTATTCGCAAAGTTAGCTCCATTCGGTGTTTACTTGCAACATATCGCACCCTGGAGTTGTATCTTGTCTGGCAAACATCATTCGAAATGAGTTAATTGACATTCCTGGTTAGAGTCATTCCTGTATGGTGTCATTTTGAGGACGCTTCGCAAGAAGCTGGGAAGGTCTTTTCGGTGTCCAAGGTAGTCGTCTATCCACACAAATAACACATTAGCATTTCATTATTGTCGCAGACAGTCTAAAAGGAAAATTGCTTGAATGCACTAGATCAGCAACATAGTATCTGGTGCTTGTGACTTTGGAAAGGTACGAGAAATAGTAGATTAGCGAGAAAGGTGGATAGGAATGAAGAAATGCTGGATCACGTGGGTACCTATTAGAAGCTGCAGCGAAAGTTTCTCCCTATGATTCGGTGCTCCCAATCGCCTGGATTTTGACTTGCGCATAGGTAGATTCTAGCTGATTAGCAAAGACAGGGCTTGATTTTTATTTGCTTATTTATACAGCCTTGATTACCCCTGGCCTGCATGTAAAAGTACAGATTTTGCAACCTTCTAGAATGTTAGACCTTGTAACAAATCCATCCACAATTCTACTTTATTGTCTGAAATTTCTCTTCAACGTCTCTTTTTAGTCCCCACAGCACCGTCAGCCTTCTGGAGACTCGGTTAGTCAGTAGAGGAGCCACAAGGCCTGTTTGTGCATGTGGTTCATTGCAGCCTCACTGATAAGACTTTCCTTATCTGTGAAGGGCACACAACACGGGGTTCTGCGGTTACCGTAATCGTTAGCTATGATCTCCACCCTGTTTTATTGGATAACATCGATACTGGAGAAGGTTGTTCCTAAGACAATGCCGATAGCAGGAACTGTTGGCACGGCTTCGTGTGGTGCACAAATGCCGATGCGTAATGTCGAATAATGGTAATCACCACGACTGTAGCAACCCTTTATATCAATTGCAGATGATCCTGTCTAACCTATCCACGATGCGCGCTACCTGCTAGAATTATTTCATACAGACAGGAGCTGCCAGTGTTTCATGCTTCGCCTCATTAACTAGCGACTGCTCCCTTGAAAGCGATGACGCACACTGAAGGCTCGGCTCACACCCGCCTGTAGGAGAGCGAAGTCGTGAGCAGTGTTGTCGTCTCCGTGCTGACGTGTTGGTGTCAGAAATACTGCGGTGCAGTAGTCGCAACATATCGACTCATGCCTAATAGGCCTATTTAATGCGGCAGGAACGCATTGCCAGAGTGTGGTCACACTCTCTAGGCTGAAGTGGGTGACCTGAAATAGAACCTAGGAAATGGTCATGTCTATTTCCGATCCATACTTATTAGTCTCGATCTAGTTCTATTAGTCTGTCTATCGCAGTTTCCATGGAGGGCAGGTCAAGGAACGACAGAACTAATCTGATTAGGTGAGGTGGAATTGGATTAGTGCAGAGGAGAGTAGAATTGATGACTACGTTTTGATATTAGTGACACCGGCTAGGGGACTGACAGCAAGTCTCTGATAGTGCTATGGAGTGAGGAGGATCAAGACGGAATCAGTCGCCATGAGGCTAATGAATGGCTCCAGCAATAGAGCCAGGAGGTGGTAATGCTGTGAAAATCTCTATTGGTTTAATTTTATGCGATCGTAATTTTCATTAGGCATGAAGGACATTATATGCATTAACTACGTCTCTATTCTCCTCCGTACCTCACTGTGAATTCACTAGCTTTGCAAACCAATGCAATAATAGGAGGCCGATCAATATCTGTCATCTTGTGCTGATGCTGCGGATGGCTATCTCTGCTAGGCGAATAATTGCAAATGCAAAACTACATGTGAGGTGATACTACACATATTTGGAATGTCCTTCACACTATGATGTTACGTGTAAATTCGATTATAACGCTTCACTCTTCTTTAAAACACATGCACCACATGAGCTTGAATGCGCCTCAACCATTCTCGTTCTCTTCTTCTCTCTACCTTCATCTCTCCTTCTTCCGCTTCCGCCTCCACGTTTACCTCCGCCCTCGCCTCCAACTCCACCTCTCTCCATTCTTCTTCTCGTTCTCACCTCTATTCTTCTTTGCCTTAAGCTCAACCACATTCGTCTTCTACTGCCCCTTCTCCTTCTCATTTTTTCTTCTCCTCCTGCTTCATATGTCTACCCCGGTTCTTGTTTGTTTTCGCCTTCATGGTCTCACTCTTACTTCCACCCACATTCACCCTTGTCTCCGTTCCTTCCTCCACCACCTTCCCATCCCGCACACCTAGTCTACCATCACCTACAAACACGCACACGACAATTGAAAGTGTAGCATTATAGGTTGACAAATTATGTCATAGAGTACAAAGTGGGCGGGAGAGAGAGGTTATGTAACTGCTGTCACAGGGCCACGAGACGCCGATCGATTTGTTTACGTGGCAGGTTGGAATTCGCAGACCGTAGAGGCATTCACAATCTGTTGAACTTGACCATCCTGATGAGCGTTATCTTCGAGTTGACCGAGTCTACCTCAATCTCCCCTCCCCGCTTCATTTCAAACCCCGAACTACCTTTCTTTTTTGTTTGGATCACCCTTATTATTATCTACGTTGTTACCTGGATATACCTAAGAGATCGCTCGCCAGGTCCGCCTACTCTTCATCCTTCTCGACAGAGGGAGTCGACGTCAGACCCAGGAGAGCCTAACCCTTGGAGAGGTGAGTTATAAGCAATTGTGTGATTAATTAATTGCCTAAAGCGAAGAGTTGGTTGCTTAATTGTTGAAGTTGAAGTAAACTTTGAGTACTTGCACACAGGTAGTTGACAGGGACATGTTAATCGCATCACTGGAATAGGCTTATTGTAGCCTCAGTGTCCTCCACGTTGTCTCCAAACATCTTAGGTGATGAGCATGAAAAATGTGCATAGGAGTGTGATTGTCTAACTGAGCGGAGGGCGTGTAATTGTAGCACTAATTCATTTTCCGGTCAATGCAATGTGGAAGTGGCGTGCGTTTTCCATAGGCATTACAACAGTGTGTTTGATGAGGAGGCCAATAAATGGAAGTCTTGCTGTTGCTCTCTTCGTGTAGACGAGAAAGTGACGACGTTTGTCTTGCCGAGGGACGAAGCACATCTGGATGTGGTGTGCTGCGAAGAGGAGAGGCAGATAAATTAGATAGAGTGGGAGGAGCAGCTGGCGTTCTCCACTCCGATTAGGGTACTTCATAGGGGTGAGTGAGGATGTGCATTTGTCATCACTTGTGGAAAATATTTTGATGCCACTAAGTAGGATTGTTCTGCTATGATGAGATGACCACTTCACAGTGACTGGTACATGCAGCAGTGTGGGTGTGTGTTTATGCGTTTGGAGAGGATGGGTAAGTGTGACGCTTGCTGCGAATTGGCAGGATGTTGTTCAGTGCATGGCATAATTGTCAGTGCTGTGACAGGTAGAGCCTAAACAACAATTTAGGAAACATGAGGCTGCCATGGGCGAGGACAAGTAGACTGCTTTATGGGATGAGGTGGAAGGAGGAATGTGCTTGGCACTGTAGACACTAGGGACATTGGTTGTGCAGAAGCAGAGAAGGTAGATGAGGAGAAGGAGAAGCAGGAGGAGGAGAAGGAAGAGGAGAAGAAGCAGGAGAAAGAAGAGGAAGAGGAGGAGAATAATGTCCTGTTTTTTACCCAGAAGCAATTGATCAGTTCCGTAAGTGTGCCTTTTCCTTCTTTCTCTCCTTCTTTTGTCTCTTTGTCTGCATCCCCTCTGCCCACCTCGCATGTGGTATTTGGTGCCAATTATGAACCACCTACTGCATCCACTGAAACAAGGAAGTAGTGAGGGAAGAGATTTTCGTGCTTCATACTACCCGTATTGACTAGGATGATGTTGGTGTGGTGAGAGCAGTAGGTAGACTCGATGTACAGGACGTGCATTTACACACGTTGTAGTGGTGGCCCAATCAATTTCCCCTTTGCATCGCCTCCGCCCCATTCATGCCCATTCACCGGTGGTAAGGAATCGTGCAGTGGAGGAGACGGCCAAGTCTTCTCTCGTGATTGGGATGCCACCCTTTGGTAAGACCCAGTATTATTCCACCAATGCATGCTATTCTTACATTGCATGTTGTAAAACGTCAGTGTGAATTCAATGCCAAGGCGACTGGTGAATGTCCCACTGTACTTTTGTTCGTTGTAGTTTATCGACCACCTGGAGCGTTTCCCGTGCAAATCGTGGAATATTACGAAGGTAATTGTGTTTTACATTGTGCTTAACATGATGAGTTGAGAGGAGAGATGTGTAGTAGTGAGTGAGACAGTAAAATTGAAATAGAGTTGCTTGTGCCCTGTAGATGACTGGTCAGTTGGAGAGGAAGAAGGCACAGGTAGGCGTACAATTAAGATGCTCGAATATATGCATTGCATAGGTGTGTGTGTGTTTGTAGGTGATGGGAGACTGGGTGTGCGAGAAGGGAAGGCGGTGGTGGAAGGAACGGAGACGAGGGTGAATGTGGGTGGGAGTAAGAGTGAGACCGTGAAGGTGAAGACAAACAAGAACCGGAATGGAAATATGCAGGTGGAGGAGGAGGAGACTGGGGTGGTTAAGTTTGGGGGAAAGAAGAGTGAAGGCGAGAAGGAGAAAGAGAATGGAGAGGGTCTGGTGAATGCGGACGTGAAGAAGGAGGTAGAGGTGGAGTTGGAGGCGGGAGCGGAGGTAAAGGTGGAGGCGGAAGCGGAGAAAGGAAAGACGAAGGTGGAGAGAAGAAGAGTGCGAGAATGGTTGAGGCGAATTCAAGCTCGTGTAAAGAGCCGCCTTCGTCTGCCACGAATGCGTGCTTGTGTTTCAAAAACGACTGAAGCCATTTGATCGAATTTACATGTAGCATCATATTGTGAAGGACATTCCAAATGTGTGTAATGTCACCTTGCAAGTAGTTTTGCATTTGGAATCACCCGCCTAGCAGAGAAAGTTATTCACAGCAATGATATTGGAGCATCCGCACATGATGATAGAAATTGATTGGCCTTCTATTAATGCATTGGTTTGCATCACTGGTGAATTCACAGTAAAGCACGGCGGTGAATTGAGAGGCAGTAAATACAAATAATCCCCTTCCAC